TTATTCGTTTACCTTTATTTAATTTTTTTAATTTAATTTCAATTTAATCCTTCAATTTAAAATTATCTTATAATTTTATTTTTTTAATATATCATTTCAATAAATATACTATTAACCATAGGGTTATTCATTTACCTTTTATGTGATATAGAAATTTAAAAACAATACATTAATATAAATATACATAAAAATAAAAGTAAAAAATCTTAATCTTACTGATGAAGTTCGGTTATCTTCTTCTTGGTATCTGGGAGCAGTAGGCCAATTGAAGATATCAATTTCAAAATACCTCGGTTGAGTGATTTTCTGAAACTGGAAATTTTCTGAAGAAAAATTGGTACCTCGTGTTGAGTGGGCCAATTTCTAGACCTTGGAAAAGTGACTAGCAGTGACGAGCACTAGCGGATCCAGAATTTAATTTTGGGGGGGGGGGGGCTTCAGCCCGAAAGTTGTTTTTTTCATAAAAATAACGGTAATTACTTTGGAAAAAAAGAAAGAAACTAACTACCTGTATGAAATGGTGTTTAAGTGATTCCTAAAGCCCTTTTAAATGTAATTACACGAACAATAATACTTTAAGAGAAACTTTTTAAATATTTTTTTCGATAAAACCTGGTTATATTTTACCATTTTGGGGAAGGCTTCAGCCCGAAAGCCCCCCCCCCTCCCCCGCGTAGATCCGCCCGTGGTGACGAGCAGATACCTTGGGAAAGTGAATCTTCAAGTCAACGTTCTTCAGTGTTCGGTTCAGCGTAGATACGAGAATACCTAATTAGTAATTAGTGAAAACTCGATGTTAGCTGGTCCTGTTCTCGGGCACCAATTAACGAGCTCGTGCAACAGTGAAGACTTTGAAATATACTTTTATTGTGAAATATAAAGTTATATTGACATAATCTTAGTGAACTTCTTACAAACTAGCCTTGTGAGGCCTAAACTAATGTTACATAAGTTACATCTAGTGATATTTACAGATGGAATGATGGAATGGAATGAATTTCTCTAAGATTAAGGGCGGTAATATAGCCCAACTCTGGGGTGGGGAGAGGATTGGCCGGAGTAGGAGAGGAGGTGATAGGCGTTATCTTGGTTTCTAGGAACCAACTAGGGGTAGGTGCCGATAAGGATACTGGACAAAGGATATTCAGAAGTAAAGTAATAAAACTTTTCTAAGGGCGGAAGCCTTGACAGTTTAAAAGGAATCCGATGGACAATTGCCTGATATTCGGGTTGTGACATTGACAGCTTTTAGAATTAGGGCGGATGCACGTCATATAAATATACCAAATGGTCAAGATGCCCAACTAGTCCCACGGACAAGGGTCACAGGATACTATAACTCAGTGGTCAAAGCGAGCGTGCTTAATTGGAAAAAGATGTGCCTCGAACCAAGGATATAGCAATATTCAAAGAATTGTATTTATAAAGGCTATTGTCTTTTATCTTGTATGCGTCCAGGTAGGCGATATATGAAGATTCCTTCTGGGGATCTTGATTGGGGTCAAGATATTTATTGCTCGCTATTCCATACCGTTGATTGCATTGGCACAAGCCACCCCTTATACCGCGCTCGGTCATCAAGATTATATGGTAATCAGCCAAGAAATCTATTTGTATCCCCGCATACTTTAGCATGGCATCCCAGTCGAGTCCGAGAGCTGTATAATACCATGCCGGATACAGCGAATATGCTCCCAAACAGACGTCTCTGAAATTTCCAGACATCACACAGGAGCATAACGGCCAGGGTTCTGATATTAAACGTGTCCCATACCGCTTTAGCATGCTGATAGTCCTCGTCCGAGATGGACATTTCATTTAATTGATTATAAAATGCTTCCTTCTGTCGGACCGTTTCCTGAAGTTTCTCGAACGAGTCCACGTAGTCATGGGGGTACACTCATTTTCTGAACATGGAAGAATTCACTCGTCTCCTTAAAATTAGACCTGAGTAAATTCTTGGACAACCTATCCTGACTGGAAGCCATAAAGCGGAATGAGTCCACAAAGATCCCTGGTCCACTGCCGCTTCAACATTCGAGGAGGATTGTAGGGATGAGTGGAACTAGATAGGGATTGTGTAAGAGGATTTGGATGATTTGTAAGGTTCTGATGGAATTTGGAAAAATAATCAGGGATAAGGTCTAGGACAAATGGAATATTAAGGTCATGATGTAGGGTTTTGTTGGATACATAGAACGGAGCATCGACTATTGTTCTGAGCACTTTGGACTGAAATGATTGGATGCGTTTGATGTTAGAAAATTTAGCTGTCCCCAAAGTTCAAGACCGTAGTTTCAAATAGGTTTCAGGATTGTCTTGTGGATCAGTAATTTGTTGAGATTTTCTAGTCAGTAGTCTGTACAATTGGCCATATCGTCTGTTAAGTTCTTGTCTTTTAAGTCTAGTATGTGAGTTCCACGTTAGTCTTCGGTCTAAGAGAAAGCCAAGATGCCGGACCGTGTCTGAAAAAGGAAGCTGGATGGAATTAAAGTGGACTGGTGAACAGGATCTGCGACGGAGCATGAATTTAATATACTTGAATTTGGATTCGTTTACTTTGATGCGCTGCATGCACCCGAGCAATATTTCTTGCTTTTAGTGCTGCAGAAATATGATCGACCACTCGGAGTCCTTGTTGGACTGTGGAGTGTTGGAGACGAAATCCGAACTGATGGAAAGGAAGATTTTGGGATTATATAAAGGGTAAGATTCATTTCAGGAGGATCTTTTCAAAGATTTTTGAAAGGATTGGAAGTAGCCTAATTGGTCTATAGGATGCCGAGGTATTGGGAGGTTTGCCTGGTTTTGGAAATAGGATAATAGCGAAATGTTTCCACAAAAAAAGAAAGTGGGTAGTTCTTAGGATGGTATTGTATAAGTAAGTTAAAAATATAAGCAAAACAGGTTTAGGAGGATGTTATCGGAGGATTTGAAATTAAGAAGGTCGTATCCAGGAGATTTAAGGAGAGGAAGTTTTTGTAAGTGGTGTTTGACCTCAGTAGGATTTAATGCTTTCGGGGGTAAGAAAAGTGGAATGGGTGATGTAAGGAATTCTTCTACTGTTGTGGTACGGGTGGGGTTGGATGGATGAGATGTGAATATTCTGGAGATGTAGTGCTTCTGAATGTTCTGGAAGATGGAGTTGCCGCCTGAATCCTGACTCCATTGTGGAAGAGTGAAACAGACAGAGAGTGATAAGCCCGAAAGGGTCTACCCTGAGGAAGTTCTTGCCCACCGTCCAGGCAAGATTAAATACAACATGGGTCCTCCCTGATTACTGGATCTCACAGGACATAGAGGGTTCCGGGGAAAACTGGCGGCCCATGGAAAGAATATCGACCCCCCGTGCATTACCTGCGGAGTCCCTGACACAGCAGGACGTAGATTGAAACAAAACATCCTGCACTATGACGGAAGGGTACCGTGCAAAATTTATGGAAGGGATAGGCAGGTATACCCTGACAGAGAAGGATTTTCTTCGCCTGGTCGGGAAGAAAAGCTACCCGTTTCTTCGGGAGTTAGTGTATGGTTGAAGGGAAGTGACGGGACCTGTTCGTTTCTTCCTGGGAGAGTTCCGCCACCGGAGGAGGCGGAAGAGGAGGAAGCACTTTGAGGAAGGAGCGGACGGATGAGGTGCGGCCCCATCACTGATGTGCACACCCCTGTGCTGGGCCGCACCACTGTTAAGCCAGTGGTTTCACTGTTCTTCTAATTAAAAATTATCCTAAATTATTGTATAAAAATAAAAATGATTAATAAAGAGTTGTTTATTGGAAGCAGTGGCATACGAGAACCCCAACGTACTAACCCACTGCTGCCAAAACCTCGTACGGCAGCAATTCCAGGTAAGGTGAAAAAAAAATGTTCTGGAGTGATATCTGGTGAAATCTTCAGGTTTGTCTTCATGAGACGCTGCCCAGGAACCATCGCATCGACGGAGGGAATGGGAAATATGATAAGATTTTAGGAATTTGTTGGTGAACATCAATAGGGAATTGTCATGAACAGAAAGGGAAGTAAGGTAGGAGTTGAAGGATTGAGATTTGAAGGTGGCCAATTACTGCTTTCGTTTCGTCAGCTACCAGCTGACAGGGATGAGAACAAGAATGTAATTATGCGAAAAAAAGAGTTGAATTAAAAGAGTTGAGTTAAAAGAGTTGAAATTTTAAAATCTTCATTTTCGAATAGATATTACCAAAAATTTATTATAAAACTAACTTCCTATGGTTTCCGACTTGATTTTTTTTTCGTAAATTCTTTGTATTTAATCTATAATATTATCAATTTTTTTTTTGTAGATTGTAGTGGATAGTCCCATTTTTAAAAATTGTTATGTTAATAATATCTCCGAATTTACGCAATAGTACTGGCCTGTCAGCTCCTGACAAAAGGCCTAATATAAGGCTCCACTAGCTGACTCCCATTAAATTTCCAATTACTTTCACAAAATAAGATAAAACAATAAAACATATTTTAAAAACACTCCAAGAAAAGTTTATCTTTTCTTTTAATTTTATACAAAAATTTTGAGATCAATCAAAGTGGTCAAAGAGAAAGAAGCAAATCTAAAGTGTCCTTACTGATAGATGGTTGTTCCTAGGACACTATTTTGGACCGTGAGGGAGCTTCCTTATTTTCCACCCATTATTTCGGTTATAGTTTCCAATGTGACTAAAGAAAAGCGGAGAAATATACAAGGAGAAAATATAGATACTAAAAATCTATGATATTGAGGTCTAGGAGTTCCTAAAATGTAATTATTCCCACTTTTGAAAGAGGATGTCAGGTATTGGTATACTGTGAACTTTTGCTGCTTTTACCCTACCTCTTTGAAGAAAATTCAATATTTCTCTCTTTCTATTACTTTTAATTATTTTAAATCATTTAAAATTTACATTATATATTTATATTATTGTTGTTTCTTCTAGCTGGGACTAACGGAAGTATATCACTAATATTTATATATTTTTATATTATCTAATGTTTGTGTAGCATTGGTAATATTATCAGCTGTTCATTTTTCAGGAGTGTGCAGACATGGCTACGCTTTGCTCGAGATTTTCAATTATTTCAAGAAGAATTTCTACTTCTAGGATCTTTGCCACTAGTGAGTCATTATAGAACTGGTTTTTATTTTAACAATCTGGTGAAATAACTACTTATCCCTATATTATGGGATAATATGTTCTTATACTTTTATGAGGGTCTTATTGCTGTTTCAATCAGTTTTTATATTGATGTGTTTTTGTTATTTAATATCCGTTTTCAGGCATGTATAATGTTTAAATAACACCCCACTGTTTAAATATAATCTATAGATTTGCTATTTGATAGTATAATTCAACAGTTAGATTGATAATGTAAGGAGACAAGGGAACTAAGAAACTACATAAATAATTCTTTTTTTGAATAAATAATGAACCAGACATTAATGGTTCTTTTTAATTAACCCTTCAAGATTAATGTGATCTTTAGGAAATGTTCTACCTTTTATTACTCTATTGTTCTTTTAATACCTGTTTCAATCTAGGAATGGGAATACATTTTTTACAGATATATAAAAAAAAAATCTGGTGTGGTGCACGCATTACACAACTTTCACTTACCCCTTCCTCTTTGCAGAAATATGTATTTTCAAACCAAGGGGAAATGTAAGTAAAAATTATAAACGCTACATTGATTTATATTTCATTGTTGGTATTTTTATTTGTATAAGTACCCTTTTATATTTATATATATATATATACACAAATTTTAATATTTATATCGCTGTAATCTATACAATTAAATATTAAATAATACCAACAATAGCATTTACGAAAACCGTATATGTATATTTACATAGTATTATCGGAGTCATTATACTAAGCTCATGTTATGTATGGAAGTGTGTTCTAATATTTCGAGTGCGCTCTATTCCTTTGGTTCCTCAATTACAACTATTCTCCGTTACGATATCTTATTAATCCTTTAGTTAATTATCAAATTCTTTCACATTTTATATTTAACTATCTTTTATATTAGAGAATTATGTAAAATGGTCAATTGTTTCAAATAAAAAAATTAAATATACTTCAGGGGAAGCTAATCTTGAAAATTAGCCACGCAAGCGCTCTTAAAGAACATCAATCAGAATAAAACCTACATTTTATTTAAAACTGCTTAATTTTTTTTACACTGATATAATGAATTTAACCAAAACCGAGAAAATTTTAAAAATTTGTTTAGTCCATGACATGAAGTGCCACTTCCAGTTAGTCGATTTTGATGAGAAAGTTGCTGTAACATCACATATACACAGTCGGCATAAAGAACATAACATTAAAAATCACAACAAAGAAAAAAAATCTGGTGCACTGCCCATCACACATCTTTCACATACCACCCTTATTTTTAGCAGTAGGTTTTTTCAGAGGAAGGGAAGTGAAAGTAAAAATTAGAGAGGGTACAAAATATTATTCAAAACAATTAGTTATCATATCGTCGGTTTATTGTAAAAAGTCATTGACATTTCATGACCTCGAATAATTAAGAACTTTGATGAATTTTCTCTTTGTTAAATCAGAAAATTGTGCAGTTAGTGTAACTATATCTGATAAATTAAACTATGTGTGACATTTTCATGCAATTATGGTGTTTTTGTATTGATAAATAAGGTCGAATTTCACAAATACAAATTTGAAAGTTTACCTTTATCAAAAATGCACTAAGTGACATTACGCAATAAACCTACAATAAATTTTTCACAACTTCAAAAATGCACTAAGTGACATTATGCAATAAACCTACAATATATTTTTCACAACTGTTTAATTTATTATATTTCTGTTGTTTTTTTTTGTCACTATTATTTCCTTTTACAGCTGTATATTTTAATTATTTATTTTATTATGATAAATGATTAAGAGACAAGAGTGCCACTGATACAGAAGGCAACTCTGTTTATTCATATTACATTGTAGGTATTTTTATTGCAATGAGTGAGCATTGGTATATATACAAATTTTAATTTTTATATTGCTGTAATCTATACAAGTAAATATTAAATAATACCAATGATATCATTTATGAAAACCACACATGTATCTAGTTCTGCCATAAATATTGTTACAAAAGTTGAACTTAGTTTATATCCTTGGGTATTATTTAGATAATTCTTACCTCTAACAGGTTATTTTCTTTACATGTCAGAATAATAATCCCAATTAGTTTGTATTTTTCTTTTGCTCAGTTTACATGGAGTGGGGTGATAAAGAAAACCGAATAACTGTGATCGCCTTCACAAAGTTGGAAAATGTAAGTCAGAGATTTTCAACACTTTGAAACCTTTGGGTATCAGCCGTGTGTTTGTGTATCGCACTATAAATAATGAGACCCTATCTGTATGTGACAGACCTCGACTGGGCTGCACTGTGAGAATGGCATATGCAGTGAGAGCAGTGGCTGCTTGAATCAGAAGAAATCCCATTCGAAAACAACAAATCATGTCTCGGGAAACGGAAATCTTTGTCAGATTAATGTCTCGCATTATAAAAAGTGACCATAGGATGGGTGCATTTCGAAGTATGACAGGACAAAGACTAACCACTTCCCTAAAAAAAATTAGAGTGGATAGATGCAAAGTGCTCCTTGTATGTTATATCAGTGGTCTTCATCGAAAGATTTTGTTTAGCGATGAGGAAATTTTTACAATTGAAGAAAAATTTAATCTCTAAAATGATCATGTGTACGCACACAGCTCTAAAGATCTCCTTTTTCAAAAACAAAGGATGTTATTTTGGAGCCTGTTGTCAAACCTCTAAATGATACTCTGTTTGCTGGAAGTCATTGGGTTTTTCAGCAGTATTCCGCTCCAGCTTAAAAGTCCAGGTCAACTCAGCAGTGGCTGCAAAAGAACATTCCAGAGTTTATCTCAACCTCGGATTGACCCTCAGGAAGCCCTGATCTCAATCCACTAGATTATCGGCTTTGGTCCGAACTTGAGAGGATGGCATGCCACAGAGCACACCCTAACTTGGAAAGCCTCAAGATCAAACTGGTCCGAGCAGTTAAGATGACTGTTGACGGAGCTTAAATGCCTGTGTCAAGGCAAAAGGGGTACATTTTAAGTAATTTCTTTTTTTATTTTTCTTTATAGATATACATTTTATTTTCTCATAAAGCTTTTGAAAAAATTCATTTTCCTGTTGAGATCTGTATATATTTTCTTGTAACAATATTTATAACAGGACTAGGTATATTTTATATAATATTATCGGGGGCCATACATATTTTATTAAGCACGTGTTACATATGGGAAGCCTATTCTAACCTTTCGGCCAAGCTGGGGTGTGCACTCTGGCTTCTTTGGCTCTCCATTATAATCCCTTATTTGTTCTTAAATTGATTGTCAAATTCTTACCTGTATATATAAATATATATATTTATATAGCTTTTTTACTTTACCTTTCCAATTGCCTTAAGGTGATCATCAATGGTCGATTTGCTAAAGTTAAGTTTCCCTGCAAGTTCTTGAACCGTTGTTCTGCGGTTTTCTTCCAACAAAGCCCACAGAACATCGTCATCAGGAGAGGAAGTCCTTCCACAACCTGGGATCTGCTAAACGTCCTTATAAACCTATAATTGTTATAACGACGATGGTCCTATATTTATTCACGTGTGACTGTCAATAATGGCTCTGGTCGTTATATTGAAATTAAACAAACATGATAAACAAAATGAAGGTAAAGCAGTGGTTTTTTTTTAAAGAAAAATTTACCAATACTATTTACTGTTTGTAATGCATACATCTATGGACATACATATTTTTAATTAAGATAATAAACCTCTTAACGGTAATTCTGTCTCTATGCGAACGCCCATTAGAACAATAGTCAACATTAAAATGCTAAGTCTGGTTGGGCATCAACTCGTTAAAAAATTGCGTTTCACCGCCTTGAATATGTCAGCGTCATGATAATTACTTGGTGTGTAGTGGTAATCACCCATTTTTATTGATCAATTTATTAAGATTTGATTTTAAATTAGGTTTTATTATTATTTACATAAGTTTTTATTGTTGTTGTTAATTTTATCATCTTACCTAGAATGATGAAGGTCTGATAAAAGACCGAAACCGGTTTCGCAAGATGTCTTTTTTTGTAAAATTAAATTTCAATCCTGTAACATAAAGCCACAATTAAAGAAGAAATAAGGGTTGGGAACTATCCGTAAATAGCCGAGAGCACCTGACTTTTACTGATCATCTACAGATACTCGATACCCCTCTTTACATGGCTTTCATATTGTTTGTTTAAATTTTATATATCTTATCCATAATTTTTAAAGAAGGTTTTTCACATGATTTTGAGGATCTACTAACATAAACCTACTAATATACAATATTTATTAATTTTAAATTATTTTTTCAAAACATCTATTTTTCACACAATCACACTTAGTATTGTTTGATACTGTACACGATCATTAAATGAAATGGAAAGTAATGCAAATATATAAATTTAACAGGTTCAATGGATGGGGAAAACATGGTAATTAATTGTTTTAAATGAAGTTATACTGTGGTTTTCACTTTGACTTCCCTATATATGAAAATATCTATCTACTCAAAGGTTGGTAAGCCAAAGTTGTGTGATGCGCGCACTGCACCAGATTTTTTCATCACAATACAGGGCCCATGGGCCAAAAACTTTAGAGATCCCAGCTTGATATTATCATCATGGCTGTGAGTGGTGTAAACAAATTTGAGCCTTTAGTATCATATTTTTGAAGTAATGATTTTGCAATTTTGATGAATTAATTCTTCTCAAATATTTTCAATGTTTTTAAGTGAGATTCAGTAAAGTTCCATGCTATATTACAATATCCACACCATGTAAGTATTACGTTGTGGAAAAGAAGAATAATGGTGAGATAACCGTAGTAAAAAAACAATATTAATTTTTTTATTTTTGCTGGGAAGCTGTTTGATATTCTCTGTTTTTGGCAATGATAACTTCCAAATATACAATAATTGATTTATTTGTTGAATTTACATGTTAACGTTTCGGGAAATTTACTCCCATCTTCAGAACTTACAATTCCACATTTCCTTATCAACTCATGGCTAAGGTCTGATGTCTTCCTTTCTCATGTTTTAAATTTATGTTATAGATAAATTACAGTTATAATATCTAGTGCATCAACATTCCTATAGACCAATAATTGGGTGTCTGGCCATTCTCAGGAATGTTAACAAGTAAATTCAACAAGTAAATCAATTGTATATTTGGAAGTTGTCATTGCCGAAAACAGAATATAAATTTTGTTTCCATATTCAACTGACCATTTAATTTTTATTTCTATTTTAAAAATGTTAATTATATTTTTCGGTGTTACCTAAATTTGTAAATTAAAATCTTACTAATTATACTGTTGAACATAAAAATGCTTCCTACGAAGTAAATGAATATTTTCTAATAACTAGATCTTAAATTAAAATAGGCTCACTGAAAACATCTAAATCCACCTCAATTTGTAAATTAAAATCTTTTACTAGTTACACTGTTGAACATAAAAATTCTTCCTACGAAATAAAGAATATTTTCTAATAACTTGATCTTAAATTAAAATAGGCTCACTGAAAACATCTAAATCCACCTCAGATTTTGTTAAAAGTATCAACAGAAATATAGACCACACTAATTATCAAACCCTTAAATATTGCTTTAGTTATTCCTATGTAATATGTTAGTGGTCTTCTTTTTGTTTATCCCCCTCCCCTGAATTTTCTATACAATGTATTAATACATTTAGAAAAACATCAGATAATCTTTGTTAGATAAGTGGTGAAGTTACTCCAAGAGCACACCAAACACCTATATCACCACACATGAAACTACCTCGTGAACTATACGTGACATGATAAGTTGATGATCAAGTGGCCTTCAAAAATTAATTGCAATTCTCCATAGAAGCACTGCAAGAATGGGTGCAAGCCACTCACAAATAAGGCTTGTATTTAAAGGATTTCTCTTTTATTGTCTTTAATGAGAATATAAAAATAAATAAAAAAGTTCTTAATAGATTTTGGCTAATTTTAGATAGAGGTATGTTAATTAAAATACAAAATTCTGTGAAATATTTATATTTTTAAATTATATACATTAAAACATCTATTTTGATGTTTCACAATAAAAGAGATATTTCTTACAATTTCTCACTAAAACAGGTCTTTATTGCAATTAGCCATTACCAATCGTATTTTTACTTGAAAAGATCTTTTACAAAATTTCAGGGTAAACACTTTTTTTTTCTGTGATTGCTCACTAAAACGAATCTATTTTCTTTCAGAATTTGATTTAATTCACAATCTATTACTTATATTTTGATGCTTACCTCAAATGAAATTAAATTAATTTAATTCAAACTCAAAATATGAATGAAACCCTCATAATATCAGGAGATATTAATATCTGGCTTGGAAAAATTTCTTAGTCATTTTCTAGAAAAAAAATATAAGAAAAAGAGACTTATGTTTTTGTGAGGGAATTGAAGAATTACTTTTTCCTTACTCTCTTACTTTCTATTCTATATAGCCAACTTATTTCAATCATTATAAAGTTGATTTATGAATAATATGTTATATGTTTTGTTTTTTAAAGATATGGCTGATCCCCTAGAGCATGCTACTGGCTTAGAAAAACGGGAGCTTCTAGCACGGGTTGCTGGAAATGATGTAAGTGTTTTTTTTCCACTTTAAAAATATAATTAACCTTAAAATGGCAAACATAAAATTTAAAATTTTACTTCATTTCTCAGCTATAGGTTATTGATTAAAATAATGCTCCTGAAACATCCTTCACTACCAATTAACTGGACTCCTGCAGTGCTGGATATGCAAAAGAATTAAGCTCGTGATAAGCAGGAGTTTTGACAATTCTGAACAGTAGATATTTTGTCCCTGGTGCAAATAACCATTGAGTGAGGTGGTGGCTAATAGAAAGTGTTTGCCTATAGCCAAATTTAAAAAAGCAAAAAAGGTCCCAAAAATTACATCATCAGCTGAATACAAAACAAGAAAAAACTTTGAAATTGTATCAAAGCACTTCAGGGGTATTTGATTTAATAAACTCAAATACCCCAAAATTTTGAAAGCTTTTTAAGAATCTGAAGACTTATTTGTTTACTTCAGTGATAATTAACTGCTGTTTGAAGGACCTTCTAAGATCAAGGTCTAGTTTAAGAAGCCTCTGACCATATGTTTTAATGAGTACTGTCAGCAGTGAAAAGTTAAATTTTATAGCTATTTTATATATTTTAAAATTTTGAGGTAGAATTATGGAAATGTCTAATTCAGTGTCAATAAAGAATAAATAATTACTTGTAGTATGTATAATATAGATAAATTCTTTGATGAAGGGGCTATAACTTAAATTATTTTTTAACTTAAATAAATATCCTTCTCCATCCAAGAGAACCAGTAAATTTTAAATTATGAAAATTAGTAGTAATATGTGCATTTACATGAAACCACAATTTTCATATAGGAAATATACATTTATTGCATACAAATGTTAACTAAATATTGTCATATTTTGGTATACATTTATCTCATCTCTATCAATTTATGAATGCCATGCCAGATAAATTGTTTCTTTTTTGTGGCAAACCAGCCATCAAGCCATTTTTTGTACATTTTCATAAGGAGTGAAATGCTGCTGAACTAGTGTGTGCAAATAAATAGTTGTCAGACAGAGCTAAGTCTGGTGAGTAAGTGCTTATCCTCAATGGCGCACTGACCCTTTCTCTGACCCACGCACCATTCTTGCAAGAAAATGAACACATTGTTTTCTATGGGAGTGTTCACTACGGCACATCGCCCCTAGACCCTGACCTTCACATCAAGAAAGGAATTGCCTCGTCAATTCTTTTTGCCCCAATCATTTTCACATCTGATTATCCCAATTTGTTGTTTATATAAATATTGTTATTTTATATTAATACTGTAAAGATTTTATACAAATACTGCTAATATTTTATATTAATACTGGTAATATTTTATATTAATAATAATACTTTATTTATTCTGGGACGAGTCCCTTTAGAATAATAAGGACAGAAATGTGGGCTAAGGAGCCTCAGAGATAAATAAAAAAAAAAAATGCTGAGTAATTACATAGTCATAATAAAAAATTATAAGTTACTCTCTAACTTAAATAAGTTAATAACAAAAATTGAAAATAAATTAAAAATTATGAAAACGATCTAATAATTTATATACATATTTACAGTGGTATGTATTTACAATTTTATGGGGACTGGATGGATAAGAAGTGATTGAACAGGCGGGATTTAAAGGTAGGAAGGGTATTGGATTGACGGATGTGGGAAGGGATGGAGTTCCATAGGAATGAGGATCGGATAATGAACGATCTGTCAAAAGCAGTGGTTCGGTGAGCCCTTATGTATAAATCAGAAGACCTGGAACGAGTATTGCGGGAGCGAACAGAGGGTTTGAATTGGAGGAACTCTGAGATGTATAAAGGTCGGCGGGATTGGATGACTTGAAAGAGGAAGGATGCCAGGAAATACTTACGATGGTAGGAAGGATAAAGCCAAGTCTTCTTAAAGTTTTTCTCTGGCTGATAATAGATCGTAGGTCAGGAAGGACAGGTATATTTGGAAATCATCTGCATAGATATGGTATTGAGAGTGACGGATCAAGAGGGGGGAAGGTCATTAATGTAAATATCAAACACAGAAGGAGATAGAGAGGAACCTTGAGGGACACCACAGGAGAGGAAGGTCTTAGATGGAAGTTGACCTGGGGCGACTACATACTGGGACCGATTTGAAAGGAAGAATTTGAACCAACGCACATCACTGTTGGATAGAGGAAGATTGTGAAATTTCGTAAGGAGTATGTTATGGTCAACTGTGTTGAATGCTTTGGAAAAATCTAGAAGGATGAGGATGGTAAGGTTTTGGTGTTCAATGGAGTTTTGGAGGTCATGGGTTATTTTATGGGGAGCGGATTGCGTTGAGTACTAATAGAACAGTATTAATACTGTTAATATTTTATATTGATACTATTACTATTTTATATTAGCACTTTTAATATTTTATATTAATACTGTTAATATTTTATGTCAATACTGTTAACATTTTATATCAATACTGTTAATATTTAATGTCAATACTGTTAGTATTTTATGTCAATATTAATAATGTTGTGTATTAATATTTATTGTGTTTATTATGAAATGTATAAAACTATTACATGAGAGGAAGTGTTAGCCAATAGATTTTAAACATGCAGCTTCAATTTAAGTATAAATGAGACTTTTGCTCTTATTTTTAATTCTAAAAAAATTAATTGCTGATTATGAACAGCTTCTTTGCACCTAATCTTTTACCATATTAAATTACTAAATAAGAATTTTTTTTATCCTTAACTTGAGGGTAAAAAAAGAAAAGCATGAGGACAAATGATTAATCGTATTTTTGGGTGCATAATTAAATTATTTTAGGCTATGATAGTATTAAGTTTTGGTAAAAATAGCTTTAATGAAGAAATTTCTTTAAAAATCACTTAACATTTAATATATAAACCACTTCAACTTAACTGAAACTGATATTAAATGTAAAATGACGTGAAATTATGACAGGCATCTTCCTTCTCTGTCACAATTTATTGGAACAAAATTAACTTTTATATCTAGCTTTATTTATATCTTTGTTGTTATTAACATATTACTCTTTTCAGAATCCTTTTGATTTTCGTGTGCTGAAACGTGGGCCTGGTACTCGAGACTGCCCAAATCAGGTCCCATCTAGTTTTGATTCTCGGTTGGTTGGATGCATCTGTGAAGAAGAGGCTTCATCTATTCAGTGGATGTGGTTGCACCAGGGTTGTCCTCGTCGCTGTGCCTGTGGACATTGGTTTCAGCTGGTGTACAAAGCACCAGTCTAGTCACTTATGCTGTTTAAGGATCAGTTGAACACAGTCATCATTTTAATATTAAAAAAGCATTGTTTGTAATAAATTATAAATATGTTTGAGAATGATGCTGTTTGCCATCTGTATCATCATTTCTGTATAGCTTATTAGTCAATATTAAATGTCAATGATTATGACATTATTGATAATTTTCTTTATTCTTTGTCGATTTCAATGAATAAATTGTCTTATTAAATAGTACTAATATTTACTTTTATTCTATTTGTTTAGGTTCTATGAATTTTTAAACTGCCTATTTGTTTGTTGATTGTCTCTAAACAGGGCGAGTCAGGAGGGATAGGCCAAAATCCAGGAGTATAATATAATTTTAAAAAATTCACATATTCTTGTCTGATTTTCATTTGTTTGAATTTTATTGCATAATCATAAATGATCAAAATGTCACAAATGAACAATATCTCATACATGTATTAGTATTTCAGTTATTGAAGTCTTATTTCTATAAATTTCTGAAAATAGTAATATTGACTTCTGATCATTTATGGTTTTGTCTTTGAAAAGCAACTGAATGTTTCATTTCTTCCTTTCACGGCACTAGCAGAAGTTCTTATACCTTGAATTAGTTTCTACTTTTACTTTGTATACTTTATCTTTGAACCAGCCTCATAAATAATAGTCCAGTACTATGAGGACTGGAGATCTTGGAGGCCAACTAATTAGAACACCGCAGCCAATCCAATGTTCTGGCAACCTTTAAAATGAATGGGAGCTCTGTCATGATGAAAACACATATGCATTCTGATGTTTAGAGAAAAATTCTCTAATACTCCTTGTAATTCAAATTGTAAAAAATCTAAGTAGTCGTCTTATGTGATTCAATTCTTTAAAATGAAGTGGTCAGTTAAATCTAATATGATTGTAACTTGTTTACAATATGCTGCAAACAAAATCATCACACTGATACCGAAATCCTAATAGAAGTATGAGACATTGTTTATTAGTAATTAACCAATTTAAACAAATGCAAATTGAATGAAAATATGTGAGTTTTTCTTCTTCTGAACCCACTCCTGGAGTTTAACCTGTTCTTACCGACTCGCCCTTTCTATTTGATAAATCTTGTGTTTTTAATTAATTATATAACCTGCGATCCTATGATGTAAACAAGCATACAATTATTCTCTATTTTTTTTACAAATGAGCGCACTTGTGTCTGCAGACACATGCTCAAAAATTCTGATATTTGTTTTTAAAAATATATAGATGTGCCTTTCTTATTTTGAACCATCCAAATTCTGATCTTGCCAGCTATTCTTCACTGTATAGACTCACTGGAATCAATTGTCTCCAGCAGCCTACACTGATGTTGACATTCCACAAAGAGGGATATGGAAGATGAGAACAAATAATATGCAGCCTACACTGATGTTGACATTCCATCGAGAGGGATATGGAAGATGAGAACAAATAATATGTTGACCTTGAGGAGAAGCATTGACTATTTCCTAATCCTTGTGAAATTTGCCTTCAGCATGAAAATGGACAATGCTGTGCTGTGATCCACATATTTCCCTGATTCTTGGAAACTATCTTCTATTGTCAAAATGTTACACAAACCTAAAAAACCAACCAAACACCCATCCTATTTCTCTATTACCTATCATGGGCAAAATCCTGGAAAAACTTATCCTAAAACGCCTGTATCCCATCCTAGACTCTAATCATATTATCCCTGATCACCAATTTGGATTCTGCACATCGCATTCCACTATCCAACAATGTCACTGTGTGGTTGATGTAGTCTCCTCTGCATTGGAGGGTGGTATGTACTGCAGGGGAGTCTTTCTCGACGTTGAACAGGCGTTTGATCGAGTCTGGCACCCGGGTCTTCTGTACAAACTCCGAAAAGTCCTATCCCCTACATACTTCCTCTTTATCCACTCCTATCTTACTGATAGATACTTCAAAGTAAACCAAAATAATGTCTGTTCAATCTGCAGGCGTTCAACAAGGTAGTATCCTCGGTCCCATCCTCTACACAGTTTATACAGCTGACATCACCACTTACGCCGATGACACATGTTTGCTATCTGTTAATAATGACCCTTTAATTGCATCCCGAACTCTTCAATCACATATCACAAGTCTTGAAGAATGGTGTAAAAATTGGAGAATAAAAATAAATTCCAACAAATCACCTTTACTCTCCGTCGTAAACCTATGACTTGTTGTCCTACTGTATCCTTCAATAATACTCTACTTATTCCTGTTGAGCAAATCCGCTACTTAGGACTCCACTTGGATAAACGTCTTACTTGGAATCCTCATACTAGACTGAAACTGCTCGACGTTTCTGACTGCTCCAACACTTACTAGACAAACGCTCCAAACTTTTAATTAATTACAAAAGACTTATCTACATAACTTTAATAGGACCTATATTGACATACGGAGTTGAGCTTTGGGACTCCACCAAACCATCGTATAGAATCCTTAATGCTCCATACTTTGTCACAAATAAAACCATTCATAAATACCTTAATGTACCATATGTCGCTGATTTAGCTCGAGCCAGATATCTATCCTTTCATGATAAACTTCAGCCCCATCCAAATCCGCTTGTTTCCACTCTTGCTTCTTCCTAGATCCCTGATAATCCTCCTAGGCGTCTGAAAAGGAAATGGCCTCGTGATCTTCTTACTTAAAATTATTTAGAGAGTGCTATCACTGGGTAGTATCTCTTCAAGCCTGTACATGCCATTATTTATAATTTGCCCATATTTACTAGTTGTATTTGTATACAGTTGTAAATTTCATTAAATAAACAAACAAAAAAAAAAAAAAAGCATGAAAATGGGACAGTAAGTCTTTGGAAATTGATCAAGAGCTGCCCTTAATTCAGCTCAAGCTGAGGAAATGAGGCCTTCTTACCAAGAAAAAACAATGGGGCAATGAGATTATAAGACCTGTGAAACTCTCTAAGGTGGCCTAGAAAATATATAGTTGAATGGAGGGGAATTGGAACAAAACTACAGAAAGAACATCAGAAAATTCTTATTAAGCTCTGACAGATAGGAGGTCAAAAACATAATATATGCACATGGGAAGTTTTGAGACTGAGGAAAAGGATTTTCTTCTTAAACAGAGAAAGAAGGGAATTTTTAGTTTTTTATTGAATAATGTTTCAAAATCAATTTCTTTTTAATAAAATGTATTGCCTTTATGCCTAATAGACCGATTAATTCTACTTCAATTCATATTTGAGAGGATCATTATGATTTAATGTCCAAAATCAATATCAAATAGTCACATCATTCTTCAATCTTCTCAAAATTGAAGAGGCGATCATTACATTCCTGAAAGTTTAAAAAATTTATATTTCAGATTAATTTTTACCTATAGACACCCTCCTGCTTTGGGAGAGTGTATGAGAGAAAGAGATGCTGTTGGTTGGAACTCTACTTCCTGATGATTTTCTCTCCTTCAAGCAGCTTAGAAACAGCACTCAATCAGCAGTACGCCATGCCAAATCCTCTATTACCAAGGCCAGGTGGGATATTCTTAGAAAACTGACCATTGGTAATACACCTCAGTCCCGCTCCAATTCCGTCTCTGCTGATAACCTCAACGCTCACTTTGTCTCCTGCCCTCTTGCAACCACATCTCCTACGTCCAGCCCGGCTCCTATGTTTACCTCTTTTAATCCTGATCACTTCTTTTTTTCCCATATTACCCCAGATGATCTAACTACATTCAGAAATCCCATACCAATGATTACGCTCCCTATAACATCCCAGTCAGATTGATTAAAGCCGCTCTGCCATCCATTCTTCCCTACATCCTGGAAAACCGCCCTAGTACGCCCCTTGAAGAAGACCTCAAACCCATCAGTTCTTAATTATTTCCGACCGATTTCCCTTCTTTCAAACCTCTCAAAACCTTTAGAGCGACTAGTCCAATCCCATTTTTTAGAGGGCAATAATCTCCTAAATCCCTACCAGTTCGGTTTCAGGCCTGGTCATTCTACTCTGTCTGCCCTAACCTTCTCCAAAGCTTTTGGGTCCTTCACACAGCCATAGATCGGCAGAAACTAACCATCCTCGTTCTTGACTTCTTTAAAGCTTTTGGTTCAGTAGACCACAGCATCCTCCTATCCATCTTCTAGTTTCCTTAATGGGTTCCAATCCTTCCTTACCGATCGCTCCCAGTATGTTGTAATTCCTAATAACTCCCTATCAGAATCTCTACCTCTATCTAGAGGCGTCCCACAAGGCTCTTCCTTACCCCCGCTTCTTTTCTCCATCTGTATAAATGACCTCCCATCCTCTATCCTGCACTGTCAATACTACCTGTATGCCGAAGACATTCAAATTTACCTCTCCTTTAATCTCCCTTTATCCTCTCCGATTTCTCAGATACCATTCTAAAACTCAGAGAAGATATTAATAGAATAACTGCTTGAGCAAACCTTAACAGGCTCACTCTGAACACCGAGAAGACAGAAGCCATCTTGATCGGATGTCCCTCACTCCTCAAATCCTTCTCGATATCCCCCTATCCCCTCCCAATCTTATTCCACACTACCGTTAAAAACCTAGGTGTTAGTTTTAATCAAACCCTGTCCTGGAAACCACAAATTTCCCGTCGCACTATCTCCTCCCTAAAACAGTTCAATCATCTAAGTAATTTCCTTCCATATAAGTCCCGTCAACTCCTAGTTTTCTCCCACTTCGACTATGGCTGTACGTTGGACTCTCGGGAGCTTTCGAGGCCATACAAACGACTAATGAATTACGCATTACGATTTGTTTTCGGAATCTCAAGAGATATGCATATTACACCGAGTTGAAGTGGCTCTATCCATCCTATCGTCGTCAGTACTTCCTAGCCACCTTTCTGTACCAGATCATTAGAACTCATCGATACTCCTATATTTTTCACAGCTTACAATTCAAATACTCCATCCAATCCCATCCCACTAGATCTCATACTTCCGACCTCTATCCTCCTCCTCACCGAACTGCTGCGTTTGACAAATCCTTTGGAATTCCATCCC